ATATATATATATATATATATATATATATATATATATATATATATATATATATAAAACATAGATTTTAGTGTTAACTTATAATCTCTATATAACAAATATTTGCATAACTCTAACTCTTGGATAGTTTATTTGCCATGATTTTTCTAGCATGATTAGATTTTGTAGCATTCACAATGTAGTCCTAGCTAGAGGCTTTGAGAGTTTTGTGTAAGGAGAGAATTTGTGAGATACACGTGTTATGTTAACACTTGTGTGAACCTCTTTCATATTCCGAGTGAATTGTATAAGGTTATTTCTCTTTATATTGTGTACTCTCGTATGAATATATTGGATATTGCTCGTCTCCTCTTGTGGATTTTAATTGATTGATCGAACCACGTTAAATATTTGTGTGTTTTGGTATATTTACGTTTGTTTTCTTACTCATAGTCTTAACTTCTACACGATACCTAATTATTTCGATCCTAACGCTAATCAACTACCAAACGACCCTGTAGTTGCCCCTGAATATTATAATGAAGTAGCATATAATGTAACTCTATTTATGATCCTTATATATGTATACGTATATATGTATCTAAGTTCAAATGGCTTCTTCTCAACCCATTATAATTTACTTTATTGGATGTAATTTTTTCTTATTGCTAGCTTGTGCTACAAGTTGTTACACATCAATATTTGGATTTGGTGATTCACTTACTGATACTGGAAACTTAGTTCACTTCTATCCAAATGGTAATAAACCTCACATGTATTTTCCTCCTTATGGAGAGACATACTTCCATCATCCCACTGGTCGTTGTTCTGATGGACGTCTTCTTATAGATCTCATTGGTCGGTATTATTTACTTTTTGTTTTATTTTACTTTCGATAAAACCAACTAGAAAGTAAAGTAAGACAAACGATTGAAACAGAAGTAGTGACCTATACATTTTATACTCAAAAATTTTGTAGCACAACATTATGGACTTCCACTTCCACCACCTTCACTTGATAGAAGAAATGCTCAAAATGGAACAAACTTTGCAGTGGTGGGATCAAGAGTTATGGATGCACAATTCTATGAGAAGATGGGAATTTATGATATAGTAACAAATGTTTCTATGTGGGATCAATTGAATTGGTTTAAACAAATGCTTCCACATTTATGTCATAATTCTTCAGGTATATACATACCCTAATATATATTTTTATATATACAAATTGAGTATCTAAATTGAGAGTGTACATTGACAAGAAATTTACCTATTATATTTTGGTTGTTTTGGACAGGTTGCAAAGAGTTTTTAGAGAGCTCCTTATTTCTTCTTGGTGAATTTGGAGGCAATGATTATACACATGCACTTCTTTCACATAAAACTTTAAATGATATTCTTCCTATAATCCCTTTAGTTGCCCAATCTATTGCCTCAGGTGCTCATGTAAGTGTAATTATTTATCTGATTTAAGTCCTAAGTATGAAAAAATTCTTGATATAGAGTATTTCCCCCTAAATGAGCTCATATGTGACATGAATTCAGGTTAGTCAGGCTCTAGTGTTCGATACAGGATAATGCGAATATGAATCTCCTTTTGTAGACGTATGTTTAGAACAAATATATTGTCTCTATTTAAAAAAGAATGATCTGGTTTGTCTTGACACGAAATTTAAGAAAATAAAAAATATTTTTTAATATTGTGATTCTGAAATAAATTTATGTCAAATATACCAAAAAGATCCTTAATATTTATCTATTTATTACATGTAGGAGCTAGTGGAGCTTGGGGCTAGGACAATAATAGTGCCTAGTGTGTTACCACTTGGATGTTCTTCATCCTATTTGACAAATTTTGAGAGCTTGAATGAAGAAGATTATGATGAATTAGGTTGTCTCATTTGGCCAAATGAACTTGCTTCCTATCATAATGAACTTCTTCAAAAGGAATTACATCGACTTAGAGAGCTTCATCCTCATGTCAATATTATCTATGCTGATTATTACAATGCTTCTATGAAAATTTATCGAGCTCCTCGAAAATACGGTAAGTTTACTTTATAGTTGTTATAATTAGAGGCAGAGTCAAGACTTTTATTAAAGGCCACGTTCAAAATATGAAAAAGTATATTCATAAACCATGTATAAGAGGGTGTTTAGACTGACTTATTTTCAAGTGTTTTTTTGAGTGTTTGGGAAAGTAAAGTATTTTCAAATACTTACTTTTAAGCAAAAAAAAAAAGTTAAGCTAGAAGTTAAAAGTTGAGTATTGATTTTTAAACTATTTTAAAAAGTCAATTCAAACACCCTCTAAATAGAGTGACTTTCAACTGAATAGGGTTCGAATAAACACCATCGTCCCTATTAGGCTCGACCCATGAATGCCACTCAATGTTGTTGCGACATGGTAAGCATTCTCCATTTTTAATCAAAGGTCTGATCCATGGTTTAAGCCCCGAAAATAAAAATTACCTCTAGAAGCTAAGGTATTATGTTACTCTATGAAAGAGGAACTTTCTGGTGAGAATTCAGATTAATCAATCCTCAATACATATGTTGAACATCAGTGAAAAAACAAATGAATGATAGTGCTAATACAACTTTACACAACCAACGCAATTTAATATTGATGTGGTACGGAAATAAATATTCTTGTCCATAAATAGAGGTATCAAATTTAAGCTTAGAAAATAAAATGTCTTTAATAAAAAATATTTTACATTCTTAAAGTAAAACGTACATCTTAAAACGTATACCGAATATATATTGGATAAAAATAAAAATAAAAAGTGTGCGAACAAAGTTTTACACAACCAACAATTCAAGTTGTCGTATACTCACCTTATTTTATAAGTTATAAGATTCACAAATTATAGATATTACTTTTGTTTGACATGATATGATAGAGTAAAAAAATTAAAAAAATTGTATAGATGTCCCACTACTTTTTTCCACATATTATTGAAAAATATATACCAAGAACACAAATTTATATGAAAAAGAACACTAAAGATAAAAGGTTTGATAATATGAAAAAGGTTTTAAAATATGTGTGAAATACTTTCCTAAAAATGATATTTGGTCTCTCTCATCAGCAAGATTGCTGTCGAAAAGAAAAAACTTTGAACTTGATTTTAGGCATAATACATATATTGGACCCTAAACTTGGGTTCAAATTTTAACTTTGGCCTCCAACTTTCATAATCCAACTTTTAACATGACAGACACAATACACGTAGTACACCACGTATGATAAAAAATGACATGTAGGACATGGGTGTCTATTTGTTCAACTTTATACGAGTTTAAGTGTCGTGTAAATCCAAAGTTGAAGGACATAAATGCGATTTGAAACCAAGTTAAAAGGACACATTTATGTATTATGCTTTTTTTTTTAGAGAAGAAAAGAATTCTTTGGAGAATGATATAAGACAATACATTTTTAATTGAAGAACGTGTACTAAACAAAGAATGAAAGGACACACCAAAGACTCTAACTATAGAATAAAAAGACATACTCTTTCGTTCAAAAACGAATTCTTCATTTAAATTACTTATTATTAATAAAAGTACACACTTTAACGAAGACATGTAAGTAAGAATGAAAAGACAAGTCATTTCATTTAAAAGACTCTAACTAAAGAATAAAAAGACACACACTTTCATTCAAAAGCGAATTCTTTATTTGAATTACTTATTTATCAATAAAAGTACACACGTTAACAAAGACATATGTGCTTACATATATAATTTTACAACAATGTGTTATATTTTATAGGATTTTTGAAAAGTGTACTAGTAGCATGTTGTGGAGGTGGAGGTCCTTATAATTTCAATGTTTCAGCTCAATGTGGCACTTCTCAAGCAACAAGTTGTGAGGATCCTAAGCAATATGTGAATTGGGATGGATATCACTTTTCAGAGGCAGCTTATAAATGGATCACAAAAAGTTTATTGGAAGGCCTATTTAGTTATCCTCCTATGAAGAATTTGTGTCTTTTTGATGTTGTTGAGGCCCAAGTTTCCCAAATTTAGAAAGCCCAAAAAAATAATAGCTCTATATATGTGAGTTATTTTGTTCCTTATAAAACTTTATCATTTGAATTGCAAATGTTCATATTCTCTTATTCTATTTTTTACAATAAAAAGTGGTAGCAAAAACCTAGTATAAATGCAAAAATTATATTTCAGTAATAGTTAATGAAGAACTACCTTATTATTGGACATGCAATCATATCATATATATATAAATTTTACCTATATTTTTAAATAATTACGTATCTTATTGTTAATTAAGAGTTTTTTTTAACATATATTGAGAAAGGCTAGACTTAAATATACATTAAGGGAGAGAGGTGAGTGATACACGGAGGGAGTCGAGCGAGAAAGCCATGTATCTCAGATACATATAAATCACACTTGATATATGTAACTTTGTGATTCGCATGTTTTATGTCAGATATATAGGAGAGTGGTGAACGGGATGCGAGGGTGGCGAACAACATTTGTCTATGTATCCACGTACATGTAAATCTACTTGGATAGAGTGTATCAAAAACAAATAATTGCACCTAATTTTGATCTCATGTATTCTGAGATACATAAATCTGAATACACCAAAATCTGATAAGATTCATAATATCGCAAACTAGATTATATCCAAGTAATTCACTCCTAAACTAGTGAGAATATTTTAAAATTGTCATTATTAATAGTAAAAGCCCGTTAGAAATTAGGTTTTGAAGTTAAATACATAACTTATTTTACTATATTTTTAAAAATTTCATACCATTTGAAAAACTACAAAACCCCTGCTCTCTCCTATTCTCAAATGAATCACTTTACGAAATGTAACATTCGGATACATCACTTAAGTTATGTATTGATCAGATACATCACTTTACGCGATGTATCGGGACATTAAATGATGTATCTGAAATCGAGATAAGATGTATCGGGATATTGAGCGATGTATTTGAAACTAGGACATGATGTATAGAGACGTTTTGGGATGTATCTGGATTCCATCAAATTTAAAGATTTTTTTTATAATTTGAACAAAGATGGAAATAAAATACAATTAGCTTTTAACACTATAAGATTGTGTAAAATTTCCATTTTTTTTGGGTCAAAATCCTATTATAGAGAATTTATTTCGAGACTTTTCTAGATGCATGATGTAATGTTCAAGAAAAATTTCACTCGAATTCCGGCCAAAACGTCACCACAAGACACCCTTCATAGTTGATTCATCAAATTTTATGTACTAATTATTTTGCCCAAATAATTGTTTTTTTATTTATTTATTTGTTTGTTTGTTTATTTATTTATTTATTTATTTAAGATGCAAGTTGTTCACAAAAAAAGTAGGTATAAGCATGATGTAGGATTTGTATTTGCTTCAAATCAAGCAAGGCATGATCGTGTTTAAGATTGTATATTTGTCTTTCCTTCCATGATGTCATTTATAAGATATTTATAATAATTTCTTTTATGATAATTATTCATTAATAATCTAATAAAAACAATGGAATAATAAGTTATAACATGTTTAACTGCACTAATCATATTTATGTTGGTTAGTACATATAATTTTAATCTTCTGTATAATTTTTCTTTTTCCATTTTTGTTTGTTATAGGTAAGTGAACAAAGTCTTATTTTATTAGTTGAAAAGATTAAAAAACTATATATAGGCTTGTTATATTTACGAATTGAAAAAATTGAAACGTTACATCTAAGGTGCATGCATGTATGATGAATATTTTTAAGGGATAATGCATAAGTACCTCCTCAACCTATATCCGAAATCTCAGAGACACACTTATATTATACTATGGTCTTATTATCTCAAAACTTATTTTATTAATAATTTTGTACCCTTTTTCAACCTACATGACATTATCTTGTGGGTTCAATGCTGGTTGACTTTTTTTTCAAGCTAGTGTCACGTTGGACGAAAAGTGATAGAAAATTATTTATAAAACAAGTTCAGAGGTTAATAAGATCTTAGTATAGTATAACTGTATCTCTAAAATTTCAAACATAAATTAAAAAGATACTTTGTATATTTTTCCTATTTTCAATGATATGATGTCTAAATCAAATGACAAAGTGAGTAGACAGTAATCTTCCATTAAGAACACAACTAGAAAAGACAGTATTCCTCCATTGAGCTAAGCAAATCACAAGTTTTTATTTTAATTGTAAGAAATATGAATAGCATGTCTAAGCTTTGATTGTGATTTGTGAGGGCGGCTATAATTTCCACTAGCCATATAAGAATTGATAACAATCCCTTTTTAAGATAAGATCATATATATTTAGTCAATATGAAAAGCATGCATATGCAGTGTAATTACAATCAATGAACTTGACTACCATATATAATGAGAAATGAAATAAGAAATTAAAGTGACATATATGGGCAATAAAAGAAGTGTTTCTACTTCATGTTACTTTTATTGAAAGCATGATACATAAATATGATCTTCCGCATGGCTTTAGCAGATAATTATAGTCTTTAACTTTGGATTTGTACGAATAGACACTTAAACTTATATAAAATTAAATAAATAGATACATTCTCTCGACATGACACCCTATATGAATATTTTGTGTCCTACGTGTCATCCTACATATATCATGTTACATATGACAAGTGTGTTTACTTTTCAATCTTATACAAATTTACATGCACACCCATACATGCTAGTTGAAGTCAAGTTAAGGATCAATGAGAAGAACAAATCATATGATGATTTATTATGAAATGCACTATTGTTAATTTTATTCAATCCCTATGATGTGAGTGCATTTATCCTATAATAGTTTGTTGAGATTTATTGAGCCTTTGAACTCTTAATGTAAGTTTGTATCTTGTATGAGTGGGTTGTTAGATTATAGGAGCATCCTTGACAGATTTCATTTATGAGAGAGTGAAAGTAGGTCGCTTTCTATGAATTTGTTATGAAAAACACTCATGAAAACCGGGCTAGTACAAGGTCGTAATGTGCTGCCTAAAAAAATTTATGTCAACATCTTGATTATTGTGTGTAAACAGTGATACTTTATTTCCCTTAAGCAGTCATAGTTCAAGTCTGAGACTATACTACTGATTCTAGAGTAAATGTTACTATTTTACTAAGTGAAGGTTCAATGCAAAACACACATTCATTATCCATAATACTCTACCTTAAACTAAATTGTGAAGTACTTTCGTATCTTGATATTAAAATGAGTAGGGAATTGTTAGTGTGATATTTTAATATTAATAAAAATATATCATATGTCATATTATGTATCATGTTATGTCTATTGATGGACGTTGCATTTTCGTCTCTTTGATCTCATCAATTGTGGAAGAAAGTAGTCATTATTTTTTTGTAACTTATGTAACCACCAACTCTTCATTTCGTCCATTATACTACTTAATTATTCTTGTAACTGATGTAACATTTGGGCCAATCATTTGCCCAGTTTACTATTCATTATCTTCCTATTTATTGTAAGGAATAATTCATTACCTATAAATAGTGATGGTTTTACTTTGTGAGAAGAACAAAATATGAAAAAAAAAGTAAAGAAGATGATCGAGTAGTATTATATTGTCTATATTGAGTTCAAAGACAGAAAGAGAGAGTTGAGACAAAGAAAATATTTTAAGCCTTCAATTATATTTACTATACAAAAGAAAGTATCTACATGTTGAAGGAATGTGTTTTTTTTGTGGAGTTTTGAATTCTTCAATTAATCCGGAGTTGCTTGAATTGTACGACGTTGTTGGGTTAATTGTTGTATCTTGGAGCGGACTAGTCAAAAGACATACTACTGTATTGATGTAATTTATAACACAGTGATAGTTAATCCCCTTAAAAAGAGTGATATATATATATCTCCTCGGCCTAAAGATTTATTTAATTATTTTTGTCATTTTATTTTCAACTGTAATTATTTTAATTTATGGTATATTACACCAAAAAAAAAGTGTACATCTTGACATCATAATTTGATCTAAATTGACAACTAAATACTCTAACTCATTTCCATTGAGTTTGACACCCAATTATATTAATGCGATACATAAATTGTAGAAATATTTAAATAATTAATTCATAAGTTAAAGTGTCTTATATTATTGTAGATAAACATCAATCATTATACTATTGAGATACATCAAAACTCATCAAATGTATATTGGTTTTATATATAAAACATAAAACTCATGATGAGCCTTATTAGTTTCTTCTCCATAACATGATTTATTATGAGAAAAATGTGAGTGCCAATTGCCAAGACAAAATCACACTATTTAGGAAATTCAAAGTGTAAATTCAACTAGTACAATTTCAAATCATTTATTCTTTAAAAAAAACATATGTACCAATAAATTCAAATGTCACTTCAAATATATTTCATTATCATCATACAAGTTTATATAATGGAAATTTAATCCATAGAGAATAGTAATGTAAACAAGTTTTACATGATGAGTGCAATTTAATATACTATAGCAAGTTATGTACTATATTTTTCGGATTATCATATCATACTTTGTTATTATGATTTGCAAAAAAAAATAAAAATCAAAAGAAGATAATGCAAGATAACAAACAATTGACAAGTATTCATAATTTGGAAAAAAGGAAAAAAAATAAGATGACAAATATGAAATTATACAAATGTTTTTGACATTACAATAAATCATCAAAATCTAAACTATCTGGGATTTCAAACTTCATGAAATTATTGAAGTTACTACAATAACTCTCTTTCTCTTCTTCCGTGCTTGATAAAGGCGTATCAAAGTTGAAATTCTGATTATTGTTGATGTTGTTGTTGTTGTTATTGTTGTTTAAGGATTGAATCATTGAGTTCTCAGATACATCAGTCGCAGAATAACTATAGTTTTGAAGAGGTAACATCACATTTTTTTGAAACATTTGGTCATTATTCATCATATAGTGTCCCATGTTACCTTGCATGGATTGAGAAGATGAAGATGAAACATTTTGTGGGGTGCAATTTGGTATTTCCGAAACTTGGTGGTGCAATTGATCATTATGTTGGAAAATAGAGGACTGATTTTGCAATAATTGAAGTTTTTGGAGCAAGAGTTCAGGTCCTTGAGAGTTTTGATTTTGTAATAATAGTTCTTGATTTTCATGTGTGTGGGATAGTAAAAGGGAATTTGCAAGTTTGAAGATTTCAGGGTTTACAAGTGCT